AACATAAAATAATTAAAAAATCTGTACTATGTAAATCTATTAAGGGTCCACATATAGGTTTGATTTTATTAGTTGACTGACTACCTCATCGGATATATGCTCAAATTTTTATCCAAATCTTGCTCTTCTTTTATGCTCATTCATTTTCTTTTTGGAATTTTTTGAGAATTTTGCATCCATATTCCTTAATTCCGCCCGAAAATATGCTTCCTGGCCTAAATTATATATAATTTAATTATCCTACATATACGTATAAAATTTAGATGGGATAAAATGCACATGAAACCCATCTCTACGTATAACCTCTGGGTGAGTACTACGTAGACCCGGTCCACTAAAGGGTTTAAAAATTGGTAGAATGAACAGACCTGGGTCTTGTATATAAAACTTTCTGCATAATTAAATTTTTTATTGCTTCAATGGAGCCGCAAATAGAGCTAATGAATGGTATCCATTGGTTCCATTCAGAGCTCCATTGGCCCCATTTGCGGACTCTATTGAAGCCAGTGCTAGACTATGACCCTTGTTATAGTTGGCATACAGAGATGGCCAATCCACTGGCATAATGGACAATGTCCATTTATATTTTCTTCAAGACCTCATCCTGCCTCAATACATAGTATGTATACCATATTTTCGCATAATAATGCCAATGAGCATTATTTCAAAAATTGTATGTATAATTCGAAATAACATGCATGGCTTCGAAATGATGCGCAGGTGGGCATTATTATACAAAGATATGGTATGCACCTGAAACTGGCTTTGGGTAGGTTTTGTTTAAACACATAACTGACATATGTACGTATATTCAACATCAATCAAAATTGATTGATTCTCTAAACAATATCAATATACGTATTAGTTATAAATACATATATAAGAAAACTTGATCAGATTATATTTTTTATTTAACTTTTTCAATACATACCTCTGAAAATGCCAAAACAAAGTAAACGCAAAACACAGTCCCGAAAAGCCATCATCGAATGTTAGAAAAATAAATCTTTCTCGCAACACATTGAATTGGCCAATGCTTCTTTCCACAAAAATAACGAATCTATAATACTTGATCCTATCAACAAAAATCGGCTTACAGTTGATAGTTCATCCCTTGATAGTAGTGCTAGTAATGATAATTCTATATTATTATCACTAAATACACAATTGAGAACAGGATCTATCGATTTACACCTTAATACAACAAGGCAATATCTTAATCTGGTTCAAAAAGGGCACACAAAGATGGGGGCGAGTAGCCTTCTGGCTAAGAGTTTAGGTAAAGGCCCATGGCATGCGCGGTGTATTCATGCCTAGGCAAATCAATTGAAGAATAGCAAAGAATTAGTAAAGTCGAAACGTGGCCAACATATAAAAACAAAAACTTTAATACATAATAAAAGTTTTCGGCTTCAAATAAATCAGTATTTGGAGGAAAATAAATTTAAATTGGCCATTCCAGAATTTATAAGCCACATCAGTAGTATTATGCCTACTTTTAGAATTATACATAAAACAACCATTAGTAGATCAACTGCGTGCAGATGGCTAAAATTACTTGGATGGAAATACCAAACCCATTCAAAAAAATCTATTTTGATAGTCACGAACATGAAGATGTGGTGGAATCCAGAAATCGTTTTCTCCAAAAGATGGCTGAATTACGAAAACAAATGGCCTCATATGAAGGTGTAGGATTAAACCATATCCCACCAGAACTTTATCCCAAAATAGTTCCTGTCACTCAAGACGAAACCACTCTTTATTCAAATGATAGTGTGAAGAAGTATTGGAGCCCGTGGAATGAATATAGCCTACAGAAAAAATTACTAGTAAGAATCAGAATTAGTTTACATTCTTTAGTTGACTAAGGCTATTCGTTTTGCAATACCTGCCGTCCTATTTTTTTAATTTTTTTTTTTTCTGATGTTTTTTAATTTCCAATTGCTCCGCTACGTATTTAATTTTTTTCCATAAATTATTCCAGTATCATTCTATGGAGACTACAGAATTTCTAATATAGTACACAGTTATTAATACATATTAAAGTTGAATTAGTTTGTATTGAGATTATTATGTGTTTCATTATTAATTGTGGTAAATATCTTGTTATAAACTTACTTGTACTCCAGTGAACACAATAGGTGGTCTTGATCAAATTCATGACTACTAAAAGGTCTCAGTTCAGTTATCATTTCTACCATGATGATTCCAAATGAATAAATATCTATTTCTTGAGTGTACACTTCTCTTTGAAAAAGTTTAGGAGCGATATAAAGCAAGACACTATGAATATGTTCTTCATGTTCTTTCTCATCAAGTGGTTTTTATAAACCTAAATCGATAATATATGCTTTGTAATCATCTTTTAACAAGATATTTCCCAGATGTAAATCTCGATGTAAATATCTTTCATCATAAATACGATCAAAATTGAATAATTAGATATAATATCATAAAGTATCTTTAATTTAATTTTCCATTCAAACTTAAAGATATCTGCAAGATTTTAAATCATTCTTCTGGTGAATTTTCCTGTCGGCATTGATAATGATCGAAAGAAAAACCTATGATGGAAACAATAAAATTAAAAATTCCAATTCTAAACTCGAGACAATCTTTAATGTTAGGATCAACTTTTATCAAGTTGAGACATTGGTTTTCTGGAATTGTCCAATAGAACCTATAGAAAAATCTGATTGCTAATATCAAAATTTCTGATTTTGTGTTACACAAAGCGAAAAACCAACTTTGTGTGGCCTCAAATGCAACATAAGACTATTAATCTATAACAGGTTAAAAAAATAAAAAAATCTGACCATCCATCCTGAATTTTGAAATCCATGTAATGCAAAACGAAAAATCAACATTGTGTAGCCTAATCAGTCAACTAGAATTTTTATTTACTAACCAAATTATTATAAATCAACTAATTTTTAACCCTATTCTTAATCACAGGGTCAAAGTATTCACATTAGCGATTTTTTCTGTGAATCTATCGGGCGTTTCAAACTTTCAGAATACGAATGTTATATAAATGACTTACTTCCTGATCATACACGTCTTAAATATATCCAAGCATGTGTTGCTATCTATCCGGGTGTAAATCGTGATGGTTGGTAGATAGATGATGATTTATTTGATCAGGTAGTTAACTGTACCATCCCGATATTTGAATAAACACACCCCAGCAAGATTGCTTTATTTATATTTGATAATAGTAGCAATCATGGTACATTTGCTGAAGATGCCCTTTTGGTCTCGGAAATGAACATGGGTGATGATGGTAAAAATAGAAAAGGTAAAGATAAAAAACCTCTTTGTAATGGTAGCATGCCTGATGGTTCCGAGCATAAAATGAACTATATAGATAGTGAAGATGTAAAAAGGCCTAAGAGAATTAGGCGGGTTCTAAGAACGAGGTTTATAGATACAAGGCCTTTTAAAAAAGTGTAATAATTGTAAAAAAAATAAGCCTGATCCAAACAACCTAAACTGTTGCGCTTTGTGCATTCTTTCAGCTCAAACCGATTTTGCAACTCAAACATCACGTATACAAGAGATAAATAAGTTTTTTTTTTTAAAAAAAAAAATTATTTAAAACCATTACTTACATGCATATAAATAATTTAGGCAATTGAAGCTGCTAGCCACATGTGCATCTTTTACTCTAAGTTCCATTGTGAACTTAATTTTATTGAGTCTGTTTGGGCTGAGGTAAAACATTACGCAAGACTTAATTGTGATTACACCTTTAAAGGCCTCAAAAAAACAGTTCCAGAAGCACTGGATTCTGTTAATTTAATAAAAGTTCGCCATTTTGCTCGCCGTTCTCAATGCTTTATGAGTGCCTATGAACTTGGACTTTCTAGAAAGGCTGCTAAATTTGCAGTAAAGAAATATCGTTCTCATCGTCGAATTCTAGAAAAAGTTTTTGAAGAATTCGATGAATTCACACATAACTAAAATATTTCACCTTTTCTTTCTTTTTACTCTGAAAAATATGTATTTAAAATTAATATGTATACATATTATATATTGAAAATAAATAA